GTGTATATTCACTAAGTTGGATAGTAAAGTTGGGCCCGTGGAGGCCCACCATGGGTCCCGTTTTGATAATTCAAACTGTTTCAATATGTAAAACTCGTATAGTACTATATGCTAGTAAAAAATCACAATTATCGAATATCGCTAACTATATGATCAAATCAGTTTTGTATAAAAAAATGGATGGTATTATAGTTAACAGTTGACAAAAAAAAAAACTAACACGATCAAATAGTTATCGATATACAATCAACGTGATTTTGTACAAACATATAGTACTCGACGATTTCTACACATTGAACGGTTCCGATTAGAAAAACGGGACCCGTGATGGGCTTCAACGGGCCGAATAACACCGTTTAATTAAAGTCCGAAAAGGAGACAATCTTTTCCCATCTCTTACCCAACAGACTGTACTGCCCAACTTATACGGCCTACTTCACTAACTTCTCCTACACACTTATTTAAACAATTTTTTAATACACATTTTTTCATAAAAAGTCAAAAAATTAACCCAAATATTCATATTTTTTTCTCAAATTTTTAGTCCAAAAAGACAAAAAACACACTTATTTAGAACACCCCAAACAATCCCTTAAAAAGAAAAAAAATATATAAATAACATATATTTATATTTTATTTAATTTCACGCATCTCATTTTTTTCTTTTGTTAAATCCTTTCTCAAATACCTAAACTAAACACAAGATTAAGGTCTCTCCATGATGATTGAAAACGTGGCTCAGCCGTTTTTCAGGGCTGAGTTAACGAGTTAGGGATGTTCCGTGTGTGGACCAAACCAAGTAATCAAACCGAGTGAGACTCATAATAATAATCATAGTTGAGCAGAGAGAGAGAGAGAGAGAGACCTATTCGAAAACGACTCCAAAATAACGCGTTATTTGTTTATTTATATTTCTGACATGGTAATAATAATAATAAACACGTACGGGTTTTGAAAGCTCTCACTCACGCACTTATTCACTCTTACTCAGTCCCACACCCTTCCTTTCCACGAAATGATAAATCCACCATCCCCTTCCCACGCTCATGTCCCTCCGTCCACCCCACTTTTTCCCCAATTTACTTTATTTTATTTTTATAAAAAATCATTTTAGAAGTAAAAAGTTTGAAAAATGTTGACAAATCTATAATATAAATTCCATAATGCACAGACAATGATTTATTAAGAAAGTTGGGTTTTATATGATTTAATTTATGATAAATCAAAAATTAAGATGTAATATATGTCGTGTTGTTGTATGTCAAATTATGAGAATTTTTTTTTAGAAATTTTAAATATATTTTAAAAGGTTTATACATAAAATATATTTAAAATGATGTGGTAATAATATTTTTAATATTATGAAGAGAATGATTAGCTGTTTGATTAGAAATGAAAAGGATACAAGAAATTACATCTTTTTTGTGGGAGGTTTTTTTTTTTTTTTTGCATGACTATGCTGCTCAGCTAAGTAAGAAAAATGGTAGTCAAGTAGAATGTGTGTCAAAGTGTTTGGAAAATTATTCAGTTAGTAATCATATCTAGAATGAAGATCAGACGGTTAAGGTGAGCAAAGGGTGGACTAAGTCAATGAAAAGTGTATGATAAGGGAAATAATGTTATCATTTTTCTCTAAAATGCTGTTGAACAGTAAGACAAAATAATTCAGACAAATCACAAAGATCTTAATAATAAAATACGTTGTTAAATAGTAGGACAAAATAACGTAGACAGGTAACAAAAATCTTAATAATAAAATAAAAAATATATAAAAAAGAATTCAACCTCCAAAACTCAAACACACAATTGTTCATGATTATACTCAATATCTAGGGTTCAGAGGGTCATGGTTTGAGCAAAGGGTGGACTAAGTCAATGAGAAGTCTACGATAAGAGAAATAATGCTATCACTTTTCTCCAAAATGTTGTTGAACGGTAAGACAAAATAATTTAGACAAATCACATAATAAAGTACGTTGTTGAACAGTAGGACAAAATAACGTAGACAAGTCACAAAAATCTTAATAATAAAATAAAAATATATAAAATGGAATTCAACCTCCAAAACTTAAACACACAATTGTTCATGATTATACTCAATATCTAGGGTTCGGACGGTTAAGATTTGAGCAAAGGGTGGACTAAGTCAATGAGAAGTCTACGATAAGAGAAATAATGCTATCACTTTTCTCGAAAATGTTATTGAACAGTAAGACAAAATAATTTAGACAAATCACATAATAAAGTATGTTGTTGAACAATAGGGCAAAATAACGTAGACAAGTAACAAAAATCTTAATAATAAAATAAAAAATATATAAAAAGGAATACAACCTCCAAAACTTAAACACACAATTGTTCATGATTATACTCAATATTTAGGGTTCAGACGGTTAAGATTTGAGCAAAGGGTGGACTAAGTCAATGAGAAGTCTACGATAAGAGAAATAATGCTATCACTTTTCTTCAAAATGTTGTTGAACAGTAAGAAAAAATAATTTAGACAAATCAAAAAAATCTTAATAATCAAGTACGTTGTTGAACAGTAGGACAAAATAACGTAGACATGTCACAAAAATCTTAATAATAAAATAAAAAATATATAAAAAGGAATTCAACCTCCAAAACTCAAACACACAGCCGTTCATGATTATACTCAATATCTAGGGTTCAGACGGTTAAGGTTTGAGTAAATGGTGGACTAAGTCAATAAGAAGTCTACGATAAAAGAAATAATGCTATCACTTTTCTCCGAAATGTTGTTGAACAGTAAGACAAAATAATTTAGAAAAATCACATAATAACGTATGTTGTTGAACAGTAGGGAAAAATAACGTAGACAGGTAACAACAATCTTAATAATAAAATAAAAAATATATAAAAAGGAATTCAACCTGCAAAACTCAAACACACAATTGTTCATGATTATACTCAATATCTAGGGTTCAGAGGGTTAAGATTTGAGCAAAGGGTGGACTAAGGCAATGAGAACTCTACGATAAGAGAAATAATGCTATCACTTTTCTCCAAAATATTGTTGAACAGTAAGACAAAATAATTTAGACAAATCACATAATAAAGTACGTTGTTGAACAGTATGACAAAATAACGTAGACAGGTCACCAAAATCTTAATAATAAAATAAAAAATATATAAAAAGGAATTCAACCTCCAAAACTCAAGCACACAATTGTTCACGACTATACTCAATATCTAGGGTTCAGATTTAGACAAGTCACAAAAATCTTAATAATAAAATAAAAAATATATAAAAAGGAATTCAACCTCCAAAACTCAAGCACACAATCGTTCATGGTTATACTCAATATCTAGGGTTCAAACGGTTAAGGTTTGAGCAAAGGGTGAACTAAGTCAATGAGAAGTCTATGATAAGAGAAATAATGCTATCACTTTTCTCGAAAATGTTGTTGAACAGTAAGACAAAATAATTGAGACAAATCACAAAAATCTTAATAATAAAGTACGTTGTTGAATAGTAGGACAAAATAACGTAGACAGGTCACAAAAATCTTAATAATAAAATAAACAACATATAGAAAGAAATTCAACCTCCAAAACTCAAGCACACAATTGTTCATGATTATACTCAATATCTATGGTTGAACTTGTTGGAAAAGATGAGTTTTTGGTAACTTTAATGTGAAATTAAAGTAGGACCCAACCATTAGTTAAGGTGGAATTAAATGAGTTTAGATTTTTTTGTAATAAGGTCTTTACACTACAAAAAGAAGAGTAATGTTAGAGACTCCAAAAATTCTACCAAAAGTTTTACCAAATGTCTCACATGGGTGTGGGACCCAATGTGGGTCCCACACCCATGTGAGACATTTGGTAAAACTTTTGGTAGAATATTTGGGGCCTCTAGCTTTTTTGCAAAAAGAATGACAATAAATCATTGAGAATTGAAGGAGAAATTGTCTCACAAAGATGGCTTTATAAATGAGGTTTTGGGAATTGTGTATAACTACCAATCCCACATTGATTGTAAAGGAAAGTTTTGATGGGTATTTAAACCTCAAGATTTTGAAAAGGGTATAAGCTCTTTAGGGCATCCAAATTTTTCGAAGAAAGGGAGTTATGAATGTTTCAAGAATGTGTGAGAGAGTGCTGCTATTGTCGGTTCGCCAAAACTGACAGAAAGTGCTTTTGCGTTAGCCGGTCTAAACCATCTTATCTCACGAGACAGAAGTCGATGTTCCATCTAAACCATCTTATCCTAGGAGACAGAAGTCGATGTTCCTCCAGCATCCACAGTGAGGCGGCTAATCTATTTTAAGGACACTATGGTATCATACAAAATTTGATTTGATTGTTTGTTTTCAATAATTTTATTAAATATATATTTATGTTATTCATGTTTCATGCTCTAGAATGTAATTTATCAAATATAAATTTATTTGATATTTTATTATTTAATTTAATAAATCATAAATCTATTTATCTTATTTAATTACATAATTATAATTACAGTAACAGAACTTGCATTTACTAATTTAAGAATCATAATATTTCCCAGCTAATTACCTCAGTGATCAATGACTCATTATTTTTGTGGTTCCAGGATGATTGAGTTGCTCAAGTTCATGCTTATCCACTTTTACTCATTATTTTTGTGGTTACAGGATGATTGAGTTACTCAAGTTCATGCTTATCCACTTTTACCATTTGTGGTCTACATTTTTTTTTTTCCCACACAAGTTGGTATATAACTTATTTATAAAAATTTTATTTATATATCAATATTTGTTTATAACAAAAAAAACTTTTAATGAATGTGATGCCACCATATTTTTTAACATAATTATTATCAATGAATCTATTGACAGACAAATCTAATCACATAAAATATAGGTAAATCAAATGGAATGAAATTATTTATTTTATGACAGACCCTATCTAATATGTATGGTTATAATTAGGTTATAATTATTTTATCTTGTTTTTGTGGTCAATTTTATATTTAATTTTTTTTTTATTTATTTGCCAAAGTTAAATTTTATTGATAGACAAAAACAAATACATCAAGAATGATTATTTCTAACTCTAAAAGGAATTACAGCAAATGTTCAGTATTTCAAATGCGAACACTTGAACATCCAATAACCATAGCCAGCAATATACCGCGATCATCAACCAAGGATCATAATTGCAACATACTGCGACTACCAATAACACAGACAAACCCAAATTTTCATAGAAAATAAAGAAAAACCTCTATAAATGAGAAAAAAATAATAAAACAAAATACAAAAATATTAAAAAAAAATTTAAAAATTATATTTGCACAACTTGTAGCACAGGACCGACAAGTAACTCTAGCATCGGCTCTGAATTTGCAGTCCATGGAGACAGTGTAAGCCTGAATGGTAGAAAATCTCAAATGAAAAAGCCAAAAAATCAAATTTAAAAATAAATAAATCACTCACGTAAATTAAAAAAGAAAAAGAAAAAGGGAAGGACTGCACTCACTCGGGCCATGACAAGAAAAAAAACTCTAGAAGAGGCAACTATGATACAGACCACTAAAATAAGACCACTAAAAACAGCTCTAGTGACGTGGCATGCCTAAAAAAAAATTAAGGGTTGGTTTGGATGTCCTAAAAAAATGTACTTTTTGACTTATTGGTGGGTTTGGGTTGGGTTTGGTGTGATGTGTTAGAGAGGTGATGTGATTTAAATAAGATGATGTGACTTAAGATAGTGACTTTTTGACTTTTTGGCTTATTTAGTACATGCCAAACTAGCTCTAAAATAAAAAGAAAAGAGAAAAAAGACAAAACACAAAGAGGAAAAAGACAATTTAATACTCTTTTAGTGCTCTTTTTTTAGTGCTCGAAATCATTTTTCCTAGAAGAGGCTTTGATTGACAGAGAGGACAGAGGGAGGGAGCAGTTTCTCTACCTATCTACCCATTGTATTTATAAACTTATGCAAAGTGTAAAAGCAACGAATGGTAGTTTGACAAAATCAAAAAAAAAAAAAAAAAAAAAAAAAAAAAATACCTATGAAAATTTTATTTAAAATTCATTAAAAAAACTAATCGTTTTTTCAACTGCCATCTGTGCGCGTGAGTTTTGCAGCCAAGCCTTGCCTTTCCTCCACTTTCTCTCTCTCTAAAATTTTCACACTGTTTCCTGCTGTCTCCATAAACATCTATCTATAAAAAGGAGTGGACACACTTCACCTCCTCTTCAACAACAGAGAGAGAAGACAAACCTCGGGCCATAGCTGTTTATGAAAACCAACAATCCAATTTTAGTACATATACCAAACACAGTGCAGTTGGATCTTTCAAGTATCCAATTTTTTATTCTTTCCTTACTCATAAAAGGGGTTGGTGTCTTTTCCTTCCTTTTTATCTCCTAGAAATTTTCCCGGAAAATCCTTACTCTGAGAAATAACAGAGAAAGAGAGAGAAAATGGAGTCATTGGTTTCTTCTCGCACGGGCAGGCAGTTCCAACGGTACTATAATGGTTGTCGCCAAGTTGTAGGGTAGGTTTCTCCTTCTCAGAATTTTCTTTTCCTGCTTTTTTTTTTTTCCCCTTGAATTGGAAGGAAATTTTATTTGGAAAAATTGATCCGAGAAAATATTCAATTGGGTCTTTCTTAGATGAAGAAAATAGTGGTCACTAATAATGATTTTTATGTTTACTTGTATTTGTCATTATCACTTTTAGTTGTGTTTGAATCACGAATTTAAGAAATTTGTGAAAAGAAAGTAACAAAAATAATAATAAATTTTTTCCCCTTCCTTTCTTTCTAAATCGCCTCAAATTCTTGATCCAATCACAGCTTAATTGAGATTTATTCTTCTTGTTTCCTTTGTTTGTTTGCTGAGAAAATTGATGGGAATTACAATTATCAAAATTTTCAAAGTCTAATGGAGATTTGATCTGAAACTATGACCTAACCAATAATTTTTGAAATTGTGCAGATGCATACCCTACAGGTATAAAATAAGCAACCAATCACATCTACTTCAAGGGTCCCTCATTGAAAATTTGGAAGTTCTTCTCATCAGCTCTCCAAAGGCTCACCATTTGTTTTTTCCAAAGGTACTTTCCCTTGCCATTTGTCTGAGTTGTTGCTTGACTTTGTTTGGGTTTGGCTTAAAAAGTCTTTTTTTTTTTTTTGGATATTAAAGAAATTGTTGTTTGATTTCAGCTGATTTAGGTGGAATAAAAAAATAGTCACCTTTTCAACTGAACCCATAAGTGCTTAATTTATTTCTGAAGTTTTTATTTTCAAAAAATTAGAAAATTAATTAAATTTTCTTACTTTTCAGTTCTTCTAGTTTAGAATGATGAGAAAGTAACAAAAAAATTCACTAAAAACAAAAATAAAAGATCCACATATTTTTCTCATTTGTCAAATGCATCTATTTGTTTTTTAGCAACAATTTTACTCTTAAAAAGAAAAAAAAAAAAACCCTAAAGATGGAAACATTTTTGTTTTTGTTTATTCATTTATATTGGAATGTAATTTTTCAGGGTGGTTGGGAAATTGATGAGACTATGGAAGAGGCAGCTCTTCGAGAGACCAAAGAGGAAGCTGGTGTAGTCGGCATTCTTGAAGTAAGTATCTCCATACTTTAACATTCTCTCTTCTTTTTATTTTTTTTTATTCATGATGATGAAGATTTTCATGCCTTTTTTCTTTTTTCTAATAATAATTGGAATTCCATTAATGTTTGCAGAATCAATTGGGGACATGGAGCTTTAAGAGCAAAAGTCAAGGCACATTTCATGATGCATACATGTTCCCTTTGCTTGTTGAGGAACAATTAGATGTTTGGCCAGAGAAAAATGCGAGGCGAAGAATATGGGTAAGTTTAAATATGCAATCCTTTTCTTTTATTTGTTTGTTTTCAATATGAAAGGGTAGGAGGGGCAACCAACGTGTAGCAACTCCCCGTAGGCATGACTATAAGAACTACTACCTTTGGGCAGTCCAACAATACAGTTCTAAATGGACCCGATAACACGGGGAAGATGAACTTGAGTTGTAACCTGGCCCAAGCCCCAACCCCAAAACCTTCCCATGTATAGTTACAAACAATTTGTAAACAACTTGTCTCACATTTATGGAACTTTCTGTGCATTTTGAGCTTCAATTGTTTGGTCACAAGTTTGTAATAGAATAAGCCCTAATCATTGATTGCTATGTATTGATATTGTGCAGATGAGGGTTAAAGAAGCAAGAGAAATATGTTCACATTCATGGATGAAGGAAGCTTTGGATGTATTTGTTTGTAGACTCCGTCAAGGCATGCGACAAAAGGAGGAAGAAAGTAGAACAACTTGTGCATTGGAGTTTTTGAGGACAGAACAACAGAGAATAGGCATTGTACCTCAAAATGGAGATGAAGAGGCTGACTGTTACCTTGTTAGTTGACGGCACGTCTTAGAGTATCACGTGGCATTGTCTACATGGTATTCCTGACAAATGAAAAACCTCAAGTCACAGTATTGTCTCAACTACATAACAACGGTTTATCAATATTGTTACATCGTATTGGTTGAGAATGATGCATAGCCAATACTCGGAATTGATTGAGAATGATGTTGTTGGTTGTATATTTTGTACAGACCTATCATAGCTTGACACGTGGATCATAAAGGGCAATTTGAAGAATAAGTAACGGTCTCCAATCATTAACAGACGCGTGGCAACTTATAGCAGTGGCAATGGATCCGCGATACATGGGAACAATTAGGATACTCAAGGTGATGTGGCCAAACGGTTGCTTACAGTTTAAATTTAAATTCAGGAGGGAAGCACAACCATGAGAGTGAAAGAGTGGAAGCAAACTGTTCAAGGCCACACTCAATTATCATGGAGATCATTTCGACAGTTATCACCTACTTTGACAGTTATTATCCATTTCGGCGGTTATCTTCAGAGCCTATAAATAGAGGGAGTGTTGATAATGTAAAGACTCTAGGGACTAGATCCAGAGACCAGTTCATTTGCTTTATATTTCTAGTCCTTTAAATTATGGTCTTTACATCCCTGTATTGCACTTCAAATTTCTAGGAGTAATTCTCTTATAGTCTGTTGCTGTAATCCCTTTGAATCTGTGAAAGCATGAAGTTACAATTGTAAATTTTTGTTACTTAATGAAAGATTGATTTTTGACACTATTGTTCTTTCTTTCTTTTATTTCACTTTCTCCTAAAAACTAAGCCATTAGTAAAGTTACCTTCATGAAGGCTGAAAAAATTTCGAAGCAATCGTCTGACTCATTGGTTGGCATTTATTAATTTTTGTAAGGACTTATTGATCCTTGTTGGCATGCTTGAATTACAATTCTAACATTTGAAAGTCAAAAAAGCCAACATATATTTTTGGCACTCTCGGTAAGACCTTTGTAATAGCTAGATGTAGGAGACAAAAAGAAAATGAGCGTCTTGAAGAAGGTGTAGAAGGAGATTTAGATATACAAAACCTAGAGGATAATGTAGTATCACATTCCATGGACGTGCCTGCCTCAACGGATCCTCTACAAATGGTCGAACAGACCAACACTTCAGGGCATACAACATATGTCCAGAATATTGGACAGGGTCATGAAACTGGACCATCAACTATTCCCTCTATCCAACCAATGAATCCATGGGGAGGGTTAGTCGATGCTATGGGACAACAATTAATGTATACAATGGAAAGATGGGCAACATCCTTTTTGGATCAAATGAATGCTTATCAATCACCTGTCACAAGGCAAGTTGAAGAAAACATTAATTCTCTTCAGCATAGATTAGCTCGAGATAAACAGCCTATGCAAAATAATGGACAGACTAGTAGTCAAACTAATAATCAAAACCATGAGAGACCATCACCTGTGCCTCAATCATGGTATGAAGCTCCTCCTAGACCACTAGCAAGTCAAAATACACCAATGCCTACTAGCGGAACCATACATATTGGTGGGTCTAGATTGACACAATGGAATGGCACGTGAGTGTTTTCAAATCCTATGTTTGAACCCATGTCTGGCGTACGGGTGTTCACCAATCTTGTGTTTGAATTCACACCCGAGAGATTGGAAGGAATTTTTGCGGTTGGAAGAGAAACAACACCAATTCCTCCTCTTGTAATTCTCTTTGCAGTACCTTTCGTAGGAAAAATGCCTGCCTCAATAGGGCAGCTATACCCTCAACATCAACCAACACAACAGGGACAACCAGTCCCAAATATGCTCTTACATGGACCAAGAGGGCCTCAAGCACATGGAGTTCCTCCAAACCTTGTGTTTGTTTCTCCAATAGTGGCCTAACTGGCACAAAATATGGTTTATAGGGATCAAATTGCTGACATTGTTAGAGAGATTTGTAGACCCATGGCCCGGGGGGGTCCAGATCCCTATTTACAAAAAACCTTACCCAGAATGGGTAGATAGGTTACACGAATACCCAAGGAGATTTAGGATACCAGACTTTACCCTCTTTTATGGAAATGGAAACCAGTCAACTGTTGAACACATCGCTCGGTTTACAGGCTAATGTGGTGAATTTACCAACAATGATTACATGAAATTAAGGCTTTTTCCAAACTCTTTAACTGGGGTAGCTTCCGTATAGCAGACAAACCTTATACCTGATTCTATCCAGACTTAGCAACAAATGGAAGAGGTGTTTCATGCCTAGTTTTTCCAAATAGAGCCTGAAGTATCTATAGTAGACTTGGCAAGGTTGAGTCAAAGGCCTGATAAGAAGGTTGCTCAATTCATTGCCAGATTTAAAAGGACATGAAACAATGTAGGGTCGTACTACCTAAACCTGAATTTGTAAGATTGGCCCAAAATGGGCTAGGGCTTCGAAAGAAGTTTGACTTAATAGAGTTTTGAGACCTAGTATAATTAACTTATGAAGTTACCAAATATGAGACTCTTCTTGAAAAAAAATAGGATCAAAGTAATACATCCTATGGGACCTCTTATAGGGACCCTATTTTTGAAATTGATGCAGCAGAGATTATAGGACAAGAACTTATGATTTGTGAAGCATTAATTCAGAAGGATACCACTATCGATCAATAGTTTAAAAAGAAAGATCTTCACAGGAAATATTCTTTTGATATATCAAAAACAAATGACATATTTGATCATTTGTTAACAGCACATTTTTTAAAATTGCCTAAGGGAGTTAAGATCCCAACTTCAGAAGAAATAAAAGGCAAAATGTACTGTAAATGACATAATTCTTGGTTTCATTCAACTAAAAACTGCATTATTTTTTGAGACAGGATTCAAGAGCAGATTCAGAAAGGAAGATTGAAATTCCCAGCCAAGACAGAAAAGGCAATGGGAATTGACATTGACCCCTTTCTAGATATTAGAGAAACTGCAGCCAATGTTGGCACACTAGATTTCCTTGCCCAAAAAGTGGAGAAGAACGTTTCTTTAAAAGAATTGGACGAGGTTAGCGTGCAAATGCATGTGGCTGGCTAAAATGCCTTTAAAAAGAGTGCACAATTTTCACCAGCAAGTGGGCAGAGCTTCGCAGGCCAAAAGGATGATCCCAACGAATAGCTTATAGATGATGACTGTCACGACCCAAACCCGCCCTTATGAGTTTCGCATCGTAGTCGGCCAGTAATCCTAAGATTACCTACGGCCTCTGAAACAGAATCACAAAATAAGGGGCTAGCGGAAGCAAATAACAAAAATATAATCGTCCAATGAGCTGTGCGGACTTATATGAAACAAAATATTTAAAACTTTATATACATATCCAAAAATCATTCTCACATCATACCCACACACTTAACTATAGTATCTTAAGGACAACCAACAAAACAAACAAAATCTCATATACAGAAACAACCAGAGCTTATAACACGCGATACTTCAGAAACCTCCACGTGAGGTGCAATGGTTGGCTTTACAAAACAGAAGTCTAATCAAAAGTCTTTAGGCTTGGTCCTGCACATGCTCACCTACATATACATATATACAAATAGTGAGTTAAAGCCTAGTGAATAACATAAATGTAAAGAGGTTAGTGAATGAATTCGGAACGTATCATAGTCATAAAATAGATCATAACATAATCATTTCTCATATCTAAACATAATAATGGTACATCCAATAAAATAAATCATATCGTCATCCGACTAGAGTAATCAATTTCGGATACCGATTAAACACATCACCACTTTGATAAGTGGCTAACGAGATCTCGTAATTACATATATGTTATGACCCGCATTAACATGCTTTTCCCCATGACTTAGGAATATCTATGGATTCCATAACATATTTCAAACATAAGACATTTGTTCACGTAAACAAATATCATTTTAGAAATCATAACTTATCATATATAATTTCAAACATAATTCATATAAACATATCTTTACAACAACGTTAACTCACAGTGGGCTTCTAGAAACGGTCAATGAATCTTTGAGTCTTGGCCTACAAACACAAATGTACATAGCACAAAACATATTTCATCATAACATGTCCGTATGGCCACTATGACTTAGCTTACTTTACATTGATTCTTATTCTTTCTTATCACATTGCTTGAAACACACTCTTTGTAATCTCTTAACTTATATATCCTCATTATTGTGGTTTAATTAAAGCTTAGGAATGGCTAGGATGCAATGAGGATACCAAAATGTACTTTGAAACACTTAGTCAAATTTTTGAAATCTAGGTCTTCGTTGGAGCGTAACTTTGATCGCTCGAGCGGTCTGCAACATTTTGTAAAACTTCTGGAAGCTTAATTTTTACACTCGAGCGCGACTTCCTACACTCAAGCTGAGGATAAAAAATAATGGTGGTCGTTCAAGCACAGGTTCTGTCTTTCAAGCTAACTTCCAAACTCTGCAAAAGTACTGGATGCTCACCATGTTCGCTTGAGCGACTTGCAAAAATTCTGGATTTTCAAAACAGAGTTTTAAGCTCCACACATGCAATTTAAAGCTTAGGGTCATGCATGGCTTGGTCAAAAACACAAAATTACTTTAGAAAACATATATACATGACCCCTTAAAAACTATTTGCTTTGAAATCTCATGAATTAACCAAAATTGACCTTAAACACTTTTGCATGTAAAACTTTTCAAGCTCTTTTATCCAAAACTCATGAATTTAACAAACTTGAGCTCATAAGCTTCATGCATGTAAGAAATTATTTTCCAAAACATGAAATCAAGGTTAAAACATGATAATTCAAACATACATGTACCAATTAATTCAAAATAACACCTTGAATGCTCAAACTCAACTCAACATGGTAAAACTCTTCATATTTATGCATGTGTGAGGAAATCCTTACCAAATTCCTTTTCTTAACTTTCCAAATCATGAAGATTAATTTCAAATAAACTCAACTCTTAAATGCATGTATAAGCTAGTTTCAAAACTCAACTTAAACAACGTATTCATGATCAACAGTGATATATCATGACAAAACTATACATGCATGTATGGTTACTTCATCTTCTTGGCTTCCTTAAACTAAAAACATGCAATTGATTATATATAGCTCATGAATACATCATAAAAGCACATAGTCTTCAAGGATTAAATGTTAGATTCTCACCAAAGGTCTTGAATTAGCTAGATTCTTGCACTATATTGATGAACTCTAGCACATTTTTCAACTTTTACCTTGAATTTACACTTTCTCTCTCTAAAATGGAGTCTCTCTCTCTCTCTAGAATGTATAAACTTAGATTTTAGCATTAAGGAATGAAAGAAATGAGCTCAAGAATGAGCTTATAGGCTTTATATATAGTTTGGATGGCTTATTACAATAATTAGAACATTAGGCCTGCCAAATGAAACTTAATTTACCAAACTGAATCAATTTTTAATTAAACTTGCCAGAGTGTTCTAAAAATTCCAAATAACATATTCATGTAATCAATTTCGGTTTCGGATGCTAATAAGGTCTTTAATTTTCAGATCAAAGTAGAATTCCAGACAGATATTTCTAAAAGTAACATGTAAAAAGCCAAATAGTAGACAAAACACACAATAAACATATAATTCCATTCTAAATACCTAGTTAGCATTCTTAATTACAGATCGGGGTTGTTATAAGAGGGGGTACGGATAATGTGGAAAGTCCCAACCAAGTCACAGGAGCTAAAGTTAGACATCGTGGCAGAGGGCAGGGTAAAG